TCAAGCTTGTCACAAATCGAAAAATAACGCAGGGTTGTTCTTTAAATTTGATTTTACTTTTTTTTTTGCAAAATGAAGAAAGTATTTTAATATTTCTAAAATAAATTGATCAAATGAATCTACGATGCAACTTTGTTTTTCATCGTCAAGCTTGTCACAAATTAAAAAATAACAACGCAGGATAGTTTTCTAAATTTCGTTTTTTTTGGTCTGTTTTTTGCAAGATGAAAAAATATTTTCAAAATAAATTGATCAAATGAATTTTCGGTGCAACTTTGTTTTTCATCGTCAAGCTTGTCACAAATCGACAAATAACGCAGGGTTGTTCTTTAAATTTGATTTTACTTTTTCTTTGAAAAATGAAGAAAGTATTTTAATATTTCTAAAATAAATTGATCAAATGAATCTTCTTCTTGATGCAACTTTGTTTTTCATCGTCAAGCTTGTCACAAATTAAAAAATAACAACGCAGGATAGTTTTTTAAATTTGATCATACTTTTTTTCTGCAAAATGAAGAGACTATTTTAATATTTTAAAAATAAATTGATCAAATGAGACTTCTATTCGATGCAACTTTGTTTTTCATCGTCACACTTATCACAAATTGAAAAATACCAACGAATAAAATTTGATAATAAATGAACGCGTTTTAGAATAATGTGAAATGAACAAAATTATTAATAACCACCCAGTATACATATATATAAAAATACCTAAATACACACGTATTACTAACAATCAATACTTTCAACACGTTTACCATGTGCTTTGCATGCTAATTGGTTACTCGCCAATTTTGTTTTTAGAATTGAATGTCTAACAAATTTCAATTTCAATTTAATTATATATATATATATATTTTTTTTTGTTCATTAATTTATTAAATTCTATTTTTATTATATTTTAACGAGATTGTATATTATTTTATTTAGATGTTGATAAAAAATTATGCGACACCGATGTATTGTTGCATAAAGTATCGGAAACTTTATCATCGTCATCGTTGACATCAACTAACGAGGAAGAAACCGATAACGTTTATTCGATGATTAATAAAAAAAAGGATAAAAATTGTCGAAAAGAATTACACAAGGATAATGAAGAAATCAAAAATCAACAGGATACATCGGATTATGTATCAGCACTTGAAGAGGATTCTTCAATAGTTGATTGGGAATATCAATTACCTGCACCACCCAGTGCATTTCGGGATAACGATTCCCAAATTTTTGACGGATATGATACGGTGACCTTGAGATCGGTTGACGCATTTAAAGAAACCCTCGTTGAAAATGAAAATGAATCAATTAATTCGAATCGAATCAGTGAAGTTGAAAATAAAACTCTGACCATTGAGAAAAAACAAAATCAAAATAAACAAATGGAAACAACATTTAAGAACAAATTGGACAAAAAGTGTAATAAAAATGAAATTATTTTAGAACTTGAGAATAAAATTGAAAAGGGAACATTGTCAAGATGTCATAAAGAAATTGATTCGAAGAAAATTGTTAATAATAATAATAATAATTTAAAACTAACCTCAAATGTTGCACCGATTGATAATACTTTGTCGAATTTTACTATAACCACGTATACACGTCAAAAAAGTATAGATATATTTAAAGATGAGAAGGATAATAATAATTCAGTAGGCGATGAGACTAGTCGGAATAGAAAAATAGAACCAAAGATTTGTAATAACGATGTAGAATCTAAAATCGGTATTGTTCAACGATCCAAGAGTCATGTTTCTACGATAAGTCAAAATAAATTGAAAAGTGAAATTGAAGATAATAAAATGATGGATACTAAAATAGAAAAATTGGATAATGCAATATCGGAAGTTAATGATTCCAAACAAATAGATAATACAACATTACGTACTAACAATGACAAATTTTCACAATGGAGAGATAATATGTTGAAACGACAAGATGAACCTACCAAAGAAAAACAATTACAATCGTTACAGGTAAGACTTCTATTTTTTTTAAGAATATATTCTTTTTTTTTTTTTTTTTAGAATAATACTATTTTGTTTATTTATTATTTATTCGATAGGTATTGAAAAGCATTTTACCGCAGTTGACGAATTCACAACCAGCGGAAGAAAATGTAACGAAAGAACGGAACGTTGGATTTAAAGAAAAAATGAAAAACAGGTAAATGTCACAAATATATATTTTTTTTTAATTTAAAATAAAATTATTAATACTATATTAATGATATTGAAAAATTTACTTAGTAACAAATGTGCAAAATTTATTTAAAATAATAAAAATTCAATTTTTGTATCAAATGTTAAACCACTTAAAAAAAAAAAAAAACTAAATACATAAATATTAGTAGAAATAATAAAATAAATAAAATAAAATAATAATAATAATAATAAATTAATTATTATGAAAAAAATATTAATAAATAATATTTATTATATATTTATATATTTTATTATTTTTATATTATTTATATATATATTTTATATTGTTAAATTATAAATTGTAAATAATAATATTATAAATTTATATTATTTTTATTACATTATTAAATATTATTTTAAATATTAGTTAATTAGATATTGTATAAATATTAATAAAAATAACAAAATAAATTAAATGTATAAATATAATAAATATTATATACTAGGGGTGCCCCGCCACGCATTGCTGTGGCTCACAATCAGCAACGAATTACCTTATACCGCTATCTGTTAGAATCTTATCGAACTAACAGAGTTCATACTACGTCTCACGTTGTTTGTCCGCAATGGATTCCTAAACTACTAAACCAATTTTAATAAAATTTTACACACTGTATGCAGTTTCATCAAACTTGAAAGATAGGATAGTTTATATCTCAATTTATAATCGCAATTGACTTAAAGACGTGTGTATCGGACTGATTGTGAGCCACAGCAACGCGTGGCGGGGCACTCCTAGTAATAAATATAAAATAATATATTCTATAGTAATAAAAAAATGTGAATTCGTTGTTTAGGTACGAAACAGAATCCAATGAAAATTCCGTAACAACGAGCGTGTTTTCGACACCAAGCGAATCTCACGTAACGGCCCAAGATGATAATAAAAATAATACAATACAAAAAGATACCAATACAAAACGTCGTTACGTTTATAATGGTCCACCTGCAATAAGTTTAGGTAGTTGGGCTGAAAGACCATCCGTCAAGGTACAAATTAAAACGGATACCGATTATAAAATTGCCAATGACAAATTCAATAAAAATAATACAAATAACACAATTGTTCCAATAAATAATAATAAAGAACAATCTAAAGAAACAAATGATAAACATGAAAGAAATGATGATCTAACAAAAAAATTCATTAACCATGCAACAGTTTCTGGATTAAGGAAACTACCATCAACAAATAAAATAAAACACGAGGAAAAACCAATCGTAACGAGTGTAGAATTGAAAAAACCAATGAACCTTGAACAAAATGTAGAAATTAGACATCATAAAGATAATGACAAAGATAATAACAAAGATAATGAAAATTTGATCGATACAACACCATTGAATTTTCAACAACTGACAAAAACATTTCGTTTGGATATCGATCAAAGGATAAAACCATCACAACGAAGTATTGCAAACAGACATTCGGAATATTATGGTTCCCAACAAGAATTAATACGTAAAAGTATAGAAACTAATAAACAAAATGGTCATACGAAACTTGATGAGTTTCCAATACTGAAAAAAAATGTTTTCAAGAATCATGCATCATCGTTGATTAATGAAAATCATAATCCTAATTTTAGTACTACGGAAAAGAAACCATTTACAACAATAGTTGGTATTAATTCATACAATCATCGTCAACAGGAACAAAGTATTCAAAAGAACAATAACATTTCGTTAAAAAACAATGTTAACAATAATATCAAAATTCATGCAATGTCTGCACCGGTTGTTAAAGGATTCAAAGTATCATCTACGATACCATTTACAGAATCTAAAGTAATAAATAAGGTTGATAAATTAAATCAAAATAAAGATGTCGTAGATGGACAAGAAGCACCCAAAGCACCCACGATGCCTGTTATTATGGGTGTCACGTTAAAAAGTGCTAACGCAAGACCAAAGTCAATGCCGATTAACGTAGATTCTAGAGATATGTTGTTGGAGTCTATTAGAAATTTTGGGGGTCGTGGACAATTAAAGAATGTAAGTATTTTGTATAATTTTGTTTCATTTTTAAATTTTTATTACGAGGTATTCTAATAAAACAAATCACGCTTTTATTGAAGACATTAATTTTAAAAGATAATTCAATAATTTGATTAATACAAAATTAATATATTTTTGGTATTAACATTTGTATAAATTTTAATAAAATATTATTTTAATAAATTAATTAATAAATATATTATTTTTTATTTATTAGATTTATTAATTATAAAAATATTATTTTATTCTATTATTAAAATTTATATAAATTTAAATACCAAAAAAATATTAATTTTCTATAATATTAATTTTTATAATATTAATTAATATTATATATATATTTATTATATATTAATATTAAATTATAAATATTAAATAAAATAAAATATATTAAAATATAATATTATTAAATTTTATTATTTTATTACTTATAATAAATTTTATTATTATTTATATAATAAAATAAATATATTATTATTATAAATAAATAATAAATATTTTGTTATATAAATAGAATATAAAAAATAATATATAATAATATAAATAATATAAAATAAAATATAAAAAATATATATAATAAATAATAATATAAATTAATATACAAAAGTATATATATATATATATATATTAAATTAATAATTTAATATAATATATTATAAAATATAATATAATAAAATTTATAATAGAAATTTAAATCTCTTATTTATATAATTACATTTATATTATAAAATATATAATATAAATATATTATATAAGAATAATATTATATATATTATTAATATATTATATAATTTACAATATTAATAAAATAAATTTATTAATCAAATTATTGAATTATCTATTTAGTACGTGTGTTGATTTATATTTTTTTAATGTGAATATAATTTTTTCAAAATCAACTTGAACTTTATATATATATACAGTAATGTATAATAATATAATATAAATGACAAATATAATATAATATTAAAGTAATAATATAAAAATAATCTCAATATAAACTAAATTACATATAAAATTCATTTTCTCCAATTTTTTGACTTACTAAGAAGAGGTTTCTTTTCAAATTTTAAAAACTTAACCTAAACATTTCAAATAGAAAAATAAATTTTGTTTAATTTAATTCAAAATAAAGAAATTATTGTATTTATATATTATTTTATATTATATTATTAATTTATCATAGAAAAACTTCAGAAACACATTTGACTAACAAACTACCCTGAAGTATTATAAAATGTTAAAAATAAATGTATAAAATTGTTCAATTCTATAAAGCGAATTGTTTTGTTAGGATACCTCGTTTACAATAATAAAAATCATTCTAAATTGATTATCTTATTTCAGACTGCTGAAAGGTATTAAACAATAAATCAACTAACAATAATTGTTGACAGTCATATTGGTAAGACATAAACAAGAGTTGATTGAAAATAAATAACAAGAACGTTTTCTTTTCCATTTTTTTGTTCTTTCTTATTTTCTATTTTCTTCTCTTGTCTTATCTTATCTTATCTTATCTTATATATGTATGTATGTATTGTATACTACGTATAAAAACGTACACTTCGGTAGTCATCGCAGTTATTTAAAAATTAAATTTAATTAAAAGCGACGATATGAAAAAAAGAAAGAAAAAACAAACAAGAAAAAGAAAAAAGAAAGAGACTCCTGAATATTATGAATTAAAAATTATGTAAATACATAGTATTCTAAGTGCGTGTCTCGCGTATATAAAAAATATAAATTGTAAGATTAATTCTGAATCAATCATCCGAATGATCGAACACATGAAAGAGAGATATGTTATCGTTCGTTTTAAATTACGAAGAAAATATAAACGATGTTGGTGCTTTTCTCGATGCTCTTATTAAATACGCAGCTATTGTAAGTATAAATCATAGTAATAATACGTGAGAATTTATTATTTTATTTCAAAAATGAACCCTTTGCATTCAAAGCCCTTTTTTCGTTTGCACAAACCCAACAACTCGATCAAATTACTCCGAATACTCCGATCAAATTAGGAAAACATCTGACGTGTACTTTAAACTCATTTATAAACAAACGAATATATAAAAATAATCAAATTTCATCAATTTATTTATTTTTATATCTAATACAACCAAACTTGAGAAATATTATACTCTATAACTAGTTTTTGTATGATAATTCGTAAAACAATTACCCAAGATGCATCCTACGTGTTTATCAGGACACGTATCACAATAATTTGTTACTTCCGGCTTATTTCCAGTTGTATTATGATCAGAGTAAATCTTACAGTCCCTTTTCAACCCTTTAAGTATTATCTTTAAAAGAAATATCTCATCAAACATCATAAATAAGCAGATTGAGTAACAAAAAACTTAAAATCAGCCATCGGGCGTCGTATCAGCGCCTCTCGACTTTCCACTTGAATCTGCCGAGCGCCGTATCAGCGTCTCACTAATTTATTTATTTTTATATCAAAAACAACCAAACTTGAGAAATATTATACTCTATAACTAGTTTTTGTATGATATTTCGTAAAACAATACCCCCAAGATGTATCCTAGGTGTTTATCAGGACACGTATCACAATAATTTGTTACTTCCGGCTTATTTCCAGTTGTATTATGATCAGAGTAAATCTTACAGTCCCTTTTCAACC